TCAAACAGTTATTTGACAGCTCAATTGGTTCCCGAGATTCGCTCCCCCAGGCTATGAATATAGCGACTATACAGCTAATATCATCTTCTATCGAACTGTCCTGTGAGCTTAGCGAGAAATTCGTTTCTGTTGCCGTGGTAAATCAATTTGCCAATTGCGTTTTTCGCGCAGGTGAAAAATGTAGCATTTTGTATGAGATTTTCGCTTCGCTTGGATCTCTATACAGGCCTTAAGAGGGAAACAAAATAATGGGAAAACAAACACTCAGTTCTCCATGTGTGCTTATGACAATTAAACGTCAAAAAGCTATGGGCAAAAATAGCGCAGGATGCACGCTATTTCCAAGCAACCCAAATTTGAGTAGGATCTACTCATATCCACCAAAATTGAGTAAACAAAGTTGGGACTGACAAGATGACGAATGAATAACATCGACCTAAATCCAAATGTTAATTTGATATCTTGTCAGTTACAATCAAGTTTGCTTTATATTCTTCCCAACAAACAATTCAAAGTCACAAATAAGCATACATATTGAATAAATGCTGTATAACAGTGTACAATGCTGAATAAAACAGGATGTCGAATTATGTGCTGAAAAAAGCTCATTGAGATCGATAGATGCGCCTTTATTCCGCCGTTTGCTCTGATATGATTAATTTCCTTATTAAAAGCTTTATAAACGTTGACTGTCTTTCTTATTCAGAACCAGAAGTTTGATCTAATAACAAACTGAATAAGTGTAATTTGCATATACATAGTCGCTTTTATTCGACTGTTTTCAATTGATTGAATAAAATGCTTTATTAAACGTCTTATAAATGTTTTCTAGCTCTATTATTAGATTTCATTGCATTGCTTTACAATATTGCTGTATAAAGGTGAATACACTCAGCAAAATAGCTCTTATACCACCCAACAAACAATTCAAAGTCACAAATAAGCATATATATTGAATAAATGCTGTATAACAGTGTGCAATGCTGAATAAAAAGAGTTGTAAAATTATGTGCTGAAAAAGCTCATTGAGATCGATAGATGCACATTTATTCCACTGTTTGCTCTGATCTGATTAATTTACTTATGAACAGCTGTAAAAGTGTTAAATGTCTTCCCAATTCAACACCAGAAGTTCGATCTAATAACAAACTGAATTAGTGTAATTTTTACATACATTGACTGTTTAATTCGACTTTTTTTAATTGATTTATTAACATGCTTTATTAGACGTCTAATAAATGTTCTCCGGCTCCTTTATTAGATATCATTGCATTACTTTACAATATTGTCGAATAAAGGTGAATACAGTCAGCATAATTGCTCTTATAGCACTATGCGTCCATGTTGTAATCACATGATTTGTAAATGCTTTATAAACGACGTATTAGATTCATTATTCGACAACACTGATACAGTCTTACACCTAGGCGAAATCAGTAGAGTAGTGGTTACCGTTTCCGCTTTCCAATTAGAAGGTCATGAGTTCAATCCCAAGCTCAACAATTTTTTTATTTGTGTAGAACATAATTAATTTAAATAGTAATCATCGATGACATGACTCACGATAATGAATGCATTGATCTAGTTTAAAATATAACCGAGCATCCTTTCTTTCGACTTGGAGATGTGAAGAGACAACATTGGTCTCATTTAAAACAACAGTTAATGAATTAATCATTCCCACAGGGCCTTGAAGGAGCTAGAGTTGCAATCGGGAGTGCTGATAAGTATTTACTTTCATGCAAGCTTTTATAGATTATTGAGTTGCCCATATGATGAATTCTAGGATAGCTCAGATGACAAGGCAAGCGGCTGGTGATCGGAAGGTACATGGTTCGAATCACATACCATACAACGACATGTATTTAATAAATTTTCTAATATCTGTGTGGTGCGAGCCACGTCAGAAATCATGAAATACAATACACTTAAGAAACACACCCTTCCCTGTCTCCGTCCATCTTATTTTCGGGTTAATTTTTCCACAGTTGAATAATCGTTTAATAAATGTATAATAATGTCTAATTAAACGTTACTTCACATGAGAATCAAGCGTATACAGAGCATCACTGTTTTTAAGGAGAAGCAGTGATGTCTAATAAACGTTGAATAGTCAAAAATTTAATCGTATAAACTTCTGTTACAACTCATATAAGTCGAATAAAAGCTTCTCGACATACCTTATACAACACCCAGTAGTTCAATGTTGTGGTTGAATAAATTCTCCAGATTTGTGTGAACAAAGTCTGAACAGAAGTTATTATTAAAAATAGTACAAGTATTATTAAGCATGCAGTTGAATAAAATGGCTAAGAAGTCGTTTCTTCAATAGACGATTGTTTGTTGGGTTTAGCCCCAGGCTTGCAATTGCTCATTACAGCTAAAATGCCAATTTTTAGAATTATGAAACTATATGATACTATAATGATAATTTTTATTCGTAAGAAGCAAGACTGGGTGGTAAAATTTGTGTATGCCATACACAATTTATCAATTTTGCTTTCAGAAGGTCACAACTAGCGATTTTATGATCTCTGATTGCTCGCTTATCGCGTTGCTCATCGTTACAACTAATCGCTATTGTGACCCTCTGAAAGTTGAATTAATACCCCGTTCACATTTGAGCGTATATCACGTGATATCCTCTGTCTTGCAATGAGCACTCATACATCTTGTTTTCACTGGAAATCCTATGTATGAGTGCTCTTTGCAAGACAGCCTATATTACGTGATATAGACTGTAATGTAAACGGGGTATAACATGTTTTATGTATCATACAAATACTTTACCTTCTCTTCTTGCATCTTGTAAATAAGAATTACCATTAAAATATTTCATAGCTTAGTAAATCCGAAAAATAGCATTTAAGCTGTAATGAGCATTTGCAACCTTGTTTAGCCCTACTTCTAATGGAAATAAGAAGATCCTAACTGAAATTTGGACTGTTTAGAAATCAGGCATAACATTTGATAACGGCACAAAAGCTTTTGTAAACAAACTTTTTAAGGCCCTTTACACGCGAATCGAAGTATGCTCACGCAAACCAACAACATCATCGGATAGGGGCAACTCTCACCTTTCCGAAAGTGGTATTGGTTTGCGAAGGCGTACTTTGGTTCGCGTGTAAAGGGCCTTAGAAAGTTTGTTTACAAAAGCTTTTGTGCCGTTATCAAATGTTATGCCTGAAATAACGTGTGCAGAAAGGTGAAACAACTCGCTGTACACGGCCAACGAGATCAACCCAAATTTGATTTTACTTCACTCATCGCAAAAAGTGCAGAAATTCAGCAATGAGTAAATTTGATTTATGTTTTGCAGCGTTTTTGGCACTTTTTCAAGGAAAAAATTCCAGAATATGATAACAGTAACGATTGGAATTTCTCTAACTATTGGTACTACTACTAGACTGAGTAAATTTTTCGTAAATTTTCCTCATTTCCAGCAGATTATTGAGGTTTTTATTTGGGTTGATCTTATCGGCTGTGCACAAATTTGAAGGGACAACATCTGACTGGTCGTATAGAGCTTTTTGACGTCTAATCGGCGCACACTACTGTACACGGTAAGAAAAAAGTACCCAACGGCCAGTTCACTTTTACCTACTTTTGACTAGTTTGTCTCCTTTTCTCCTTCTAATGTTGTCAAAAACGGAGGAGCAAAACCACCCAACAGGGGTAGTAACGTGTGGGAACCCAACGTTGAGTATAATAATATTTACCTACTGTTGGGTACAACTAACTTACTTTTGCGTTGAAAGCTAGTGGAAAATTCCATACGAATTGCACACAAGTAAATGAAAACTACTTTGACCCGCTTTACCTATTTTTGGGTTCCTGCACTATAGTGCCGAGATGAGTGAAAAGAACTTACTTTTGGGTACTTTTTTCTAACCGTGTACCATTTAAATCCAACGAGTGCGAGCAAGAGGCAAACAGATTAGTGGGAAAATACACATACATTTATACATGTGTGATAGATAGAGAAAGACGATTAAGCATCGAAAAGGTCTATTGGAATACGTACATTCCACGATTTTGCGTACGATTTCTTCTTCTGATGATAACGCCCAAACTAAACATTAAGCTTTCCCCTGACTTAAAAAAAACGGAGTTAAACGACATGCACGTATCAACCATGTTGATCGGATAAGCCATCTCGAAAAAATCTTGCCTAGATGAAACGCGTCCACATACGCACACACATACATCAGCAAATTTCATCTTGCCGGGTCTTTTTTTTATGTTCAATTTGATTCTACGATGTCGTAATCAAACTGTGGAGCCAGATCGAGCCGAGTTCTATAGATTGGGAATGTTTTATACAGGTGAGATAGCTTGTGTGGATGGCTATCGGTCACAGACGGCAGGACGTGTAAAAATCGTTTCTAATACCTATGTTACGGTAGTAACAAAGGTTATAAGGTTAAAATCGCGATTTTGGCGTTTGCATGGTCTGTCTCAAGTAAACTATATTCCTAATCAGAACATGCGAATCTTGGATTTCGTTTTGATGAATGAAGCAACACTCTCTCGATTCCAGATTGAAGAAGCTGTAGAATCACTGTCTATTCTTGATTCCGATTGTCCCGCTTTTGAATTAACTACACAGCAAAAAATAATTTAATATCACATCAAAGTGGATACTCTTCAATCGTGTCGAAAATATGGTGTAATAATTATTTGCCAAAAGGAACAAAATTATCGAATGAAAGGACATTACGCTGCTTTTACTGCATTTGTTTATTGTTGTGGCCATACAAATTACATGAGATTTTCGACATGATTGAAATGCATCCTGCATTCTCATTCGATAGAATAAGATTCACAAAAACCAAATTTTAAAAACCCGAATTTATCCACCTATGGTGTGATCAGACCCTTCTTACTTATTCAAGTTTATTTATTTTATTGTCATTATCAGTGACCAAGCCCCCCACCCCCGTGTCATCCAGTGACGCTATGCCACTGCCTGGGGGTACCCGGAATATATCCGGGTGTAGTCTATTTGGTGAGGCTACCAATCACCTTATCATCGTATTTTAATGTGATTTAATGGGTTTTAATTCAATTCATATTCAAGCAACTTCCCCGGGGTACCCGGAACATGTCCAAGTGTGTCCAATGTGGTCTGGAACACTTAACACGACTTGCATTGATCTTATTTTTGAATTTTGTAGTAATTTGATGTGTCGCATGATGGTTTTAATACGTTTTCCGTTAAATCCAGCGTGAAGGCCCATATTCACCGGATCTTATTCCGGCCATATCTTCGGAACCGGTTCACCGATTCCAAAACCGTTCAATAGCATTCAATGGGACCCCAAGACATATCATTTGGGGCCAAGTTTGTCCAAATCGGTTGAGCGGTTGCTGAGAAACGTGAGCGCATTCATTTCGTTACATACACACACACATACACACATACACACATACACACATACACACACACACACACAGACATGTTCCGATCTCGTCGAGCTGAGTCGAATGGTATATGACACTCGGCCCTCCGGGCCTCGGATCGATAGTCGGTTTTTCAAGTGATATCTATACCCTTCTTTGTAAGAAGGGTAAAAAATGTTTTAACATAGAAGCGAAAAATACGGAAGGTGTCATTTTTTCACGAACAATCGGAAATACACAGTTTGGGAACCTATGCCTTATATCAATGAACATATTTTAATAAAACTGACTCAAAATACATGTTTAGAGTGTGCCAATGTATTTTCAGTTTAAATGAGTTTAAATAAGATCGCAGAAACAGCTGAGAAACCATTTTCGACGTAAGAAATACAAAAGAAACTAACTTCTTATAAATTACGAATCTAGTACAAGTAAATAATAGCAATTTTCAGATAGATTGACTAACAACTTAACTGAATGTAACGTAAAATGTCTATATTAAATATAAGATGCTCCAAAGTGCTATTGCATCCCTGGTCATAACAGCACTGTTTTTTTTCTGTTTCAAAATGTTCAGAAATTAGTCAACTCCAACCAAAGCACTGACATCCAACCAACAACTTTCCACTGAACTTCACGTTGTGCAAATTGATACTCACAACTTTGCAACAAAACTTTTCGTCAAAATATTGCACAGAAAATTCCACCCCTCCAAACAGTATCACTTAACTCGCTAGGCAAATGTCTAACTAAAATACAATTAAAAAGTTTCCACCGAACCGAACTAATTCTATAACCCAACGCGACGGCAATAAGAGAGAATGCAGTGCGACAACAAACGAACCGAGTTCCCAATTATCGACCGTTCCGACGAAGGAAAAACTTTCCGCATTGGTTCCGATCGTTTTTGTCAGCGATGTCGATGTCGTCGGTGTTGTTGTTGGTCGGAAACAAGTTGTTGAATGCTTTCGACAACTAACGTCTCCCCTAGGTGCCAATTTTATTTCATCAATAGTTACAACTCGATCGACCCCAGTAGTTAGGATCCGGGAAACTAATTTATATCCTTTCACGAGTACCAGGTTCACAATTGCTTCTTACCTATGCTGTGTCTATTTTTTTTGCCGTTACAGGGAACACTACTTCACCAGTGCAGCCTGGGTGTCCCAGACCGAGGTCAGTGTCGTCTGGATGAACCGACCGCAAAACCTCTCGGTCGTTACGCTGTGCAAGAGTCCGATGTGGTACTGTCAAGAGGTAATTTGTCTTGTTTTCCTTCTTTATTTAATGTTGAAGTAGAGCTGATATATGCTACTGGTGCTAGCTAAACCGACGGTCACAGGTCACACAAATGTAACGTTGTAAATAACAATTGAGTTTTTGTAATGTTTCTTGGGATGCACTCATGCTAATTTCTAGGGATTTATCATACACCGTTTGAAAAATTCATGTAAATTTCTGCGTCACGTGGCGCACACGTAGTTAACGCTAGATTTGGCGTAAATTTACACGATATTTTTTGTGAATTTAAGTGCAATATCACATAAACCAGCAGTGTTGAATACAAGCTTGCAAACAATTTTATTGTTCATGCCAACTATATCGCAATTTTCAACGATAGAAGATTTCAGTTAAAATTCAGAATCTTTTTCTGTGTAATTTTCAATAAAACATTTGGAAATATTAAAGTAGATTACCTTGGTTACATGTGGTGACTCAAAACTGTGGATTAAAAATTTCAACCCTGGATTTCAATGGTCATTTTTGCAAATGGACCTCCCAACGTCAGCACAACTGTCTGCAACTGACTAAAAATGTCCCAAGTAACTCAATCCCACACAGTCGAAATCCCGTGTCACACGAGCACACTGATTACCCATGCATCTATTAAATCTCAGTTAGTCAGAAATCCAACGAGATCTTCCAACCCCTTCGCCCGGGTTGTGGTAGCTAGCACGTGTCGCCATCCATTAGCAGTTTACTTTCTCCATCCCCAATCAACACTGGTATAGAACGGTGCTGCAAGCAGGTCTACTGGTTTTTGCCACTAGTGAACTTGATTCTAGACCTAGGATGGAGGACGTGGACAAAAATCCAAACCAACGGAATAGATTACCGAAACGGAGTCGTTGGAGCTTTCAACTGTGAAATTGAAACAATAAATCTCCATTCCCTAGCAATGCATTAGCTGGCATGGGAAAGATTCGTACGAAACATTAAGCTTGAGAATCGTAAGACTTGGTCGGTGCTCATTCAACAGATGAAACTTGAAAATGGGGGAACCGAAAATTCCCTTTGTTTCATGGATTGGAAGTTTATAGAAGTTGGACACTTTTATGCTGCCCTAAATTTAAAAATATACAAACATTGGAACGTAGGATTGGGTTCACTCCCAACCGAAATCGTGAGGTGAAAAATCTTTTATCATCACGTTTTTCTTCGGAAGGGAAGTAGATCCGTATAACCCCCCAAATGCTACCCTCCATAACCCATCTTCATAAAACGACCGTGAACACCACTGACTCGTAAAAATAAATTTTTCGGAAGATGATTATCAATTCAACTTTTGCTTCTCTTTCGGTTTCAATTACACACATGTATCTACCTACTTACCTACCGATTCCCAATTTCGATTTTCCTGTTATCTTTCCATTCCCAGACTCACCGCATCAGTGGCGACGGACGAGGATGGGTCGACGAAATGTCAGTGCCGTTCTTCAGCCAAAACGGAAGCTCCTATATTGCCATTTCACCGCTGCGAGACGGAACATCAGGTACGTAGCAGGTAGTCGTAGCCGCGGGATTGTTTGCGTATGAATGTTAATTTTATCGGTGCTCGATGCTCTGGTTCACATTTCGTTACAACCACTACGGTGCAACGTACGGGTACGGGTATATTGATTGTAATGGACCTATTTATACCAAGCGTGAAACCACAGATAAGGCAACATAACACTTATGAATAGTTCTTATTGTAAAAATGCGTTCTTCCGCCATCTGTTGATCATTCTGCATCGAGCAATGTTTTCAAATGTCAAACGCTCTAGCGCTTGGCAAAGCGAGGCCACCAATGGCAACTAGGGCAACTAATAAATTTGAAATCAACCCTTAAATGTTTGAACGATGAACAGTATGTCGAGTATTATATCCGTTTGTCTGTGGTGTAACCTTTCCACCTTACCCAACCACAGAAGGGGAGCCCTAATTGGACATACTCCAACATCGTGTCGAACATCCCGTTTTTTTGAGATAAATGGTAATTGCTTTGTATCGCTGAAAAAAATCGAAACGGTGCTCCATGAAAGTAGAGCTGAAAAAGGTACTAACGTAACTGTCAGAACAACAGGAGCCAGTGTGAAAAATTACTGATGCCGCCATTACACTTAACATATAACTCAACTCTCAGGCAAGGGTAGAACGGTTTGTTTTTCTGTATTCAGTCGTTAGGTTCAAAGGGATGTGGCCAGCACTTGGGATGATTTTTGATATTAATATCATATTTACAGTTGAAATCAGGGTGCCTTCCATTAATTTTGGCTAAACAATGTTTTATGAAATTATGGAATAATAAGATAGGGAAAATGGCTCTAATGTTGGCCTATGGATCCAAGATTGGGCCCATGGCTAAAAATCTGCTATTTATCAATTTTATCTAGATGAACGCGTCATTGGGACTGTACTAAGGGATATTTTTGGTCGCTATTGAAAATTTAGTCGATTGCTGAATTTTTGTATGGGCCCAAATTAGGAGCATTTAGGCCGACATTACATCCACATTATGATAAAATTTTGTTTGTGTGCACTCCAAAAATTAGTCACATTAATTTCACTGAAAAAAAAACACGTAACCTTCAGATAATAAATATAATCTGTAATGTACATTACGCTAATATCATTCATTACAAATCATATTAAACGCAATGTGATAAGCTTTGAAATTTAGATGAAATATAGATAAATTTCAAGTGACATAAATTCACTTACATTTTACATGAATTTATAGTGTGAAATTTTTTAAATGGTGATGGCACAAACAAAATCTCACATGGCGTCCGAACGGTGCTTTGCTAACAAGTTGCTGCTGAATTTGCAAATTCCATTGGAATTATTAAATTTTCTGACAAGTAATACATGACATGATACATAATTTATTAATAATATGCTATAATTTAAAGGTACTATCTACAAAACAGATATGGATATTCAAATGGTTGATAGCTTCCCGGGTGCATTGACAATAAGTTTTATTTCTGTGTAGAAATAGCTTAAATATATAAGGCATAATATGTATTCTAATAAACAATAAAATAAATACAAAAATATTTTTGACATAAAATCTTACTTACCTTACCAATCAGGCTAAGGCCTTGTTGTCCTCTGCTGTCCGAAGAAGTCATCTCCACTCTACTCGATCCATAGCCACACTTCGCCAGCCTCGTAGTCTGCGAAGGGTCCGCAGGTCGCCTTCTACTTGGTCGATCCACCTTGCCCGCTGCGCGCTTTTTCTTCTTGTTCCTGTTGGGTCGCTTTCTAGAACCATTCTCACTTAGTTATCGTGCGGCATTCTTACGACGTGCCCAGCCCACCGTAGTCGCCCAATTTTTGCAATGTTGATGATGGATGGTTCTCAAAGCAGCTGGTGCAGTTCGTGGTTCATTCGCCTTCTCCACATTCCGTCATCCATCTGCACTCCACCGTAGATGGTACGCAACACCTTCTGTTCGAAAACACCAAAGGCGCGTTGGTCCTCCACGAGCATAGTCCAGGTCTCGTGGCCGTAGAGGACCACCGGTCTAATGAGCGTCTTGTAGACAGTCAGCTTCGCGCGGTGGCGATTTTTATTCGACCGGAGCGTTCTCCCGAGTCCAAAGTAGGCACGATTCCCTGCCATAATGCGTCTTTGAATTTCTCTGCTGGTATCATTTTCGGCGGTCACCAGTGAGCCCAAATACACGAACTCATCGACCACCTCGATTTCGTCACCACATAAAATCTGCTTTCCAGTTATTTGTATGGTTTAGAAACATAATTTTAGAACACCTAAGAACAATGTGCATGCTACAAAAAAATTACTAAAATTCAAGTGAAAATATAATGAAATTCACTGAGAAAGTACCATAAAATCTATGTTGCTTTCTATTGGATTGGGCAGAGATCTTCTTGCTTTGAGTAATTTTCACTTAGATATTACATGAAAATAAAGTGAATTGGCTTCAAAAATTTTGAATCGATCTACATATGAAAAACGTAAAATTTACGTGAAAAACTAGATGGAAAAAATCTATGTATGTTTTCATGTAACATCTTAGTGAAAAAGTTTCCGAATGTAAACAACAAGAAAAGATGTAAAGTTTGTGTTTGGCACATAATACCTGCCAATTTTGCCACATGAGAGCCGCAATAAGCAACTTTGTCATTTATCTCACCCACTCTTCATTCTTCACTCTTCGCGTAAGTGCGATCTAAAAATCGCTCATTGTGACTCTTTCAAAGCTGAAGCCAAGTTTTGATAAGTGATTCCTGAAAATAGGTTTTATTAAGCTAACGTTTTGGGCTCTCAGGCAGCAACTTATGTGCGTGGTAATCACGATAACGAGCATGTTGTTTGGTCATTTACCCTACACCTGTGTCTTGGCTAGCTGAGATCTCGACTATTTGAATTTAATTTATGTGTTATTAAAACGTATAGATCTGAGGATTTAGTAGTTAGTGTCATCTTGTGTTCTCCCAAGTTGTTAGCTGCCCATCGGTGCACCCCCGTGTTTATCTTTTTCATCAGTAAGTCGCTTAGTTAGCGGCGCCGGTGGTGTAGTGGTAAGCGTGATTACCTCTCACCCCAGCAGGCCTGGGTTCAATCCCAGTCGGCGCCGCCGGGATGTTCTGAGGCATAACATCTCTGATCATGCCTTCCTTCGGATGGGAAGTAAAGCCGTTGGTCCCCGGTTCATGAGTTGATGGGTCGATAGGTAGGGTCCAGGTGGGGGAGCTGCCTTCCTGGCACGTCGGTAGCATTGGTGCTCAGCACGGAAAACAAGATCGACGGAAAAAACAAACCAAAAGGAGTAAGTCGCTTAGTTCGAGATCAAGAGCAATTTATCTTCAAACCTTGTGTTCTCAATCTCTACCCTGCCATCCAATTGTTACAATTTGTTATCCTTAATCTCGAGATAGCCGCGAGTAATTGCCCCCGCTTTACCTATGATAGTTTTAAGTAATTTTGTGATCTAAACAATGAATATTGGCTCCGCAATGCTACAGCAAATGAGCCTAGAAAAAATGAATGCCTTATAAAAAAATAAGCTAACGTTCTCCAACATGTTTTTTTGTTGTTGTTGTTAATTATGGGTTAAAGACCCTTTAAGAAAATTTAATTACGCATGTTTTTGCTGAAGTAACCAACCTGCTACCACTTTTTGTGAAACAGCAGGTTCCGATTTCCGTTAACTAAAAAAATATGTTTTTTTTACATAAAGGGTGTATTCGATATAAAAGGCACACACATAAAAAGCTGTAACCTTTTATCTATTACACCAAATTACTTAAAACGTTCAATGAATAATGTTTTTTCCATGTGCACACATTTTTTATGATGGTCTGAGCAATTCCAGGCAAAATAGCGAAAAAGAAAACTACAAGGGACAGCCCTATAGGGTTATACGCAATGGTGACGTAGGACTACGTGGGGTTCTCTCTGTTTATACTCATTAGAATGACGCGCTTGACATATGTAGATGACCGACAGCAACTCACGAAGAGCTACTGATTCCGATCAATAGCAGTGCAGTTTCTTCCTCTTTCTATGGATGCTCATGTGGGCTGCAGCTCGCTGTTTGCAGGCAGCAGAGACCGCCCAAGTAGCATTTCTTGTTTTATTGCACTCTATTAGTGGTTATTGAGATCAATTTCATAAAACCGCCAATAAAATTAATAGCTCCAGCACAACCTTTTGATAACCGCTATAAGATCGTCATACAGCTTAGTGGACCACTCTTGATAAGGTTTATAAAGCATGTTTGAGAATCACAATAAAGCTGTCTTAAAACCTTTTGTCAGGAAGCCTCATACTCTACAAAAGGTTCTCATAGCCTCTATAAGAGTAATATTGTATCCAAGCAGTTTTATTACGCTTTGGTGAAAATCAGTTATAAAGCCAATTTAATTTTTATTGGCTTCAAAGCAACCGCCATAAATTAGCTTGTTGTTGTTCTGTTCTGCTGAAACTTTTTTTCCAAATGGAAATCTTTAGCGGTAAAAATAGGTTTGAGTGTTGGTGTCAAGATCACCATGCAATCAATTTTGTTTCATGGCGACATTAGTGAAAATTTTAAAGAAAATATATTACTTTTTAGAAGTTCCAAAACATATGCGCTTGAAATGTTATCGTGTATATTGAGATAATATGAGCGTTAAATAAATGCGCCTCCAAAATAATTCAAGTTAACAAAAAAGATTGTTTCAGAAATCAAATGAATTTGATGGAATCACCTTAATTTTACAGAAAATTGATCTAAATACATAAATTCATACCAATGCACACTGGAAATCATTTCGGATCTCTTATTTAGCCATTATTTTATTGAAATTTCTTGGATTTTATTCCAAGGCTAATGACATTTTCATAATGACAATATGGCGACAGAGGACAGCAGGCAAGAAAAACACCAAGCGCAATTTCTTAAAATGTCTAATGCTTACATTGCACACTGAGTCAGGAATGCAACCTAGCGGATCAAAATTAATAACTCCGAAACGAAGCATTTCCGCGACTTGGTGT